CCCAATCTACCTTAAAAGCTGTTGGATATACATTTTCAGTGAAATTGTTTATTTACTGTATACTGCATTACAGAAACAATAATTAAAAGCAAAGGCAACATTTAGAATATTCCCAGTAACATGCACTATAATGTCTAAGCAAAATATTAAGAACTTTCTTTTTTAAAGTCAACACCATAACGATACTCTTATGTCCTAAAAGGACACAAAGACCTACTGCATTTTGACAAGATGTTTTTTTTTAAACTTTTTTAATGCACCAACAAAAATATATACAATATACATGAGAATACGTAGAACCTCATCAGGGTTACAGTAATACAGTTGCTTTTCACAAAAAAAGATTAAATGAGGTAAATATAAGGCACACAGTGCTTTTCTGTTCTAACATTTAGAAATAGTCTGGAGATTGGACCTTACAGTGCTCTCTGTCCTTTTCAAATTGTAAAATGTGGGTCTCTTCTCCGACCATTTTATTTAAGGCACTGTATATACTGTAATAACAGGCAAGCATAATGATTCAGTCAATTAAACATTATTATTGTTTTTTTCAATGGGATTTAAAAGTAACATAACATATTTTTCTAAAAGAAATGTCAATATTAGAATCCTTCCTTATACAATTTTTCATATCAATCCAGAATGTTTTAAGAACAGGACAAAACCTAAACAAATGTTGTAAAGTTTCTGTGCTGACAGTGCAAAAGGCAGAAGTTAGAATATGCATTAATTTTATATCTATAGTATGCACAACATGAATCTTTACAGGGTAAATTCAATGAATGATTTGGTAAGATACCCCCTTAATCTTATTGACAATACAATATTTATTTGAAATACATATTTTATTCCAGTCAATTACTCCCCAAAATGAGGTTATTCAAAATAGTTTAATTGACAAGATATTATCAGCTTGCAAAAGGGATTTAAAAAAATTATTATTACAACTATAACTCAATATACTGCATCCTTGTAGTCTAATAGCAGCTGTAAACTCTTCCATAGTTTCCAATGGACAATCATTATTAAAGTTTCTTAAAAGAGTTAATGCCTCTGTAAGGATAGAATTGGTTACAATATAGGTGATCAGACTTAACATATAATGTTTATCTATTCACAAAGTCTGTGTATTTATACATTTCACTGTCATGTTTTACCCAAATGATACCACTTTTAACCCAGGTTTCAAAGAACACAGTTTTATTGCTAAAGTTTATATCTCTGTTATTCCAGATTGTATATACAGTATTTTATTCTAAAGAGAGCATGTAAGGAGTACTTGTTTATGGAAGCTGGCAAGATACAAGGGGATTTGCCCAACATCAAAATTACATTTAAGTAAAACCTCTATATCCCTACTTCTTGGAAAATTAAAGTAGGGAATATACAGTATGCCATATACTTTGCTTACTTTTAAAAATAATTCTATATCCACTTTCACTTAAAATTGTATAAGATGTTCTAAAATCTAAAGCATAAAGGTACTGTAAACAGTTTGAGAAAAGAATATTAGTAGTTATTAGTCTTTTAAGTAAGGGTGATACATCAGAGTTGAATCAGAGGCTTGATGATTGTTCCCAATCTTGTCACCGCTGTATTATTGTATCTCTTTACAAATCAAACAAATGAAACCATTTTCCTGTTTCTAATATATTTTTTAATTTGTACCATTATTTCCTCTGTCTTTAAAGTGTAAATAATTGGGTTAAGAAGAGGAGGAATACTAACAGACAAAGATGTGTTGAGAATTCTGGTATTTGTATCAATGTTTACGTTCACCCAGGCTATAATGTTGGTGACTAATAGTGGCACATAAAATATAGCCACCAGAATCAAATGACTAGTACAGGTTTTGAATGCTTTTCGTCGACTATCGATTTCAGCTATCTTTAGCAGTGCAACTACAATACATACATAAGACAACAATATTAACGCAAGAGGGAAAAACAATAAGGACACGACAAAAAATGAAGCCAGGAACCAGTTGATAGAATAATCGCTGCAAGAAATTTTAAATACCGGTCCATGATCACAGAAGAAACTGTTAACAATTACAGATTTACAGTAAGACAAACGCGTTACGAAACACACCATTGTTAAAACAACAATAAAAGGAATAAACCAAGAGATGATAATCACTATAATCATTTTAGTATTTGAATTGATAGTTTGGCATCTCAGAGGAAAGCAAATAGCGATAAATCTGTCATATGCCAACACTATTAGCGCGTATGATTCCATTGCAGAAAAATATTGTACGAAGAACATCTGCGTTAAACAAGTATTATATTCGACGAGTCTGTTCCCGTAAATAAACATGTCTAAAGACTTCGGGATGAGTGATGTGCTGTAACTCACATCTACCAAGGCCAAGCTAAAGACCCCGAAATACTTGGGGGTGTGCAGCGGCTGAGCAAACCAGATGATGGACATAATTAAGGCGTTGGCTAATAAAGTAGCGACATAAATCACCCCCAAGAATATTAAATAGTAATTCGAGTTTTCCAAGTCATAGAAACCACGGATGTAAAAGCCGTAAGGTCGGATAAAGGTGGTGTTAAGAACAGGTGTTGTTGACATCTGGGAGGTCATTTTTCGTAACCTGTTAAAAATAAGAACGATGCACAGGAGTTGATCAAAATCAGCTTTCAAAACCAACAACACATTTGTTCATTATTTAAAATTAATTAAAATAAATTAATAATATTCATTGTTTGACCTTTTCTTAAAGTCTTCTTTATCCACATAATAATGTAAATTGCAATATCTTCAGAATATCGTGATTATAACTAAACATGATCAGAATGTTTACTTAAAATAAACAATTGCTGAGAATTAATAAAATTACAATCATCATTCAAAAGATACCTCTCACCTTTCAAACTCTGCCTCCTCAATTCTGCACTGTAGTGGAGAGGCTCTCTAATTTGTTTAGGAAAACAATGACGCTGAGTCACATGAGGTATTCCCGAAGGGTGAGAGGTGTAGAGGAATGAGACCTTATTTGTATTGAATGTGCACTTTAAAGAACCAGTTAATTGACTCATTAGTCAAAGTCTCCTCTTGGGCAGCCTTTCTTTAACAGTAACTAGTAAATCACAAGAAAATATGAGTATGTTGCAATTAGCACATGATATCTACAGTATGTATGAAAGAAGCCTGGTCTCTTTCTTAAGTAAAATAACACGGAGTGTGTACAGTAGCATGATAGTGCAGGTCTCACATTGGGTCCCTTCCTTTTTGTGTTTCTGTTTGAGGTGAAGGGAAGGTCCACTTAATATTTTGTAGCGTTTTTCACGTCTTAAACTTCAGATTAATCAAAGAGCAGATCCTTAAAACGTAGTGGATTCCAGCCTTGGGTCATGGAGTTAATCTGGTGTAGCTCTTGTTAAATATTAAGGAGAGGAGACTGGCTTCTTTCCTGTCAGTTAGAAGAAATTGTTAAGGTTTAAATCAAAGATTTTCCCATTAAGATTTATTGTAAGTATTGTTCTTTACTATTAATTACTTAAGTAGGTTAATTTTTAGCTTAATTAATCTTCATTTGTGTTTCATGTGTTTAAAGAAAGTAAGTGGTTGTAAATTCTTTACTTTCATTGAAAATCTAAACTATACTCTTATGTGAACAGAATTACAGTAGCTAACTAAATCCAGTAAATTAATTTTTTAAAATAATCTTGTTTCCCAGATTGCCAGGCATTCCACATTGTGATCAGTGAGCACATTCTCTGAATGCATCAGATTTTTGAAGAACAAGTCAATTAAAATGAGGGTTTATAGGTTTTGTTTTAAAAGGCAGACTATGAAGGAATGAAGGAGAGCTCACATGCCAATACCTGGGAACAGATGGATATGGGGGAAGAATGGACATACCTAAAAATGTTAAAGTCTTAAATTGGATTTTATTCCTAAAACAATGAAGTTGTAGTCAAGGAAATATAGTGTGGCCTAAATTCTTTAATGGGTGTAGTATGGAAAATGTAAAAAGGAAGAGTCTGCTCAAAAAGCTGCATAAATTAACTAAGGTTCAAAGATATAAAAATCAAAAAAGTCATTAGAACTGGCAAAAACATACAGAATAATATTGCAACTGAGAGAGAAAATAATACTTTTCCATTACATGTACTAAAGCATTAAAAAAGCATGAAGTGGAAGTTAAAAGTTTGCAATATGATAGGTTCTTAATAATAAGGATGATTATTAATGACATAAACAGGATAATAAAATATATACTAGATTTAAGTTAATGTAAAATAACAATATTACAAGACTAAAAGGAGAACCCTGTGCAGGTCAGTCTTGGTAGAAAAGTGGAGAAGGGAAACAATTCCAAAAGGGCTAGACAGAGACGGTATCCAAGGAAAGCAAGGCAGAGTCGATGTCCGAAATAGTCACTAAGAGACTGTACAATACCGACTGCTGGGGTGTGGACTGAGACGGGTTTAAATAGCAGGCCAGGCATGGAATGTTAATTGTTAATTAATGATGTCCCAGTGTGCCCGTAACAGTGCCCCCCCTCCTACAGGCGGCTCCTGACGCCCTAGATGGTTTGTCTGGGAAGATCTGTTGGAATTCCTGGAGTACAGAGCAGTCGAGGATGTTGTTCTCCCTGATCCAGGACCCATGTTTGGGACCATAGCCCTCCCAGTCAACGAGGTATTGCAGTGTGCCACGTCTCAGTCTGGAGTCCAGGATTTTGTTAACTGTACAGGTGGGATGCCCATTAATGAGACATGGGGTAGGGGGAAAGTTCTGCTGCTGGGAAATGGGGGAATGGAGAAAGGGTTTGAGGTAGGACACGTGGAAGATGGGGTGAACTCTTAGGGTTTGAGGAATGGCAACACGACAGGAGACGGGGGTGACCTGTGCAATGATGCGGAAGGGTCCACTTGCGGGCTTATTTCAATTAGTTCAGTTCAGGCAAACTAATTCTATTGGTGTCCATTGACTGTATCTATTTGCAAACCCCTTCATCTGAAATTAATCTACAGCACCTTACAGTAAGATTAAACACTGTATACAGTATCTACTGTACCCCTGAGGTCTGACTGTGGAGCAGCCTCAGACATCAAATATCGGGTAACTGTGTGTACATTAGCTATTGTACTACTGTCAGGGCCTATTGGCTGTGATGCATAGGAATGTAAATCTGTACAGTAGGTAATGTACACCAGACACCTATAACATTCTTATTACAGTATATTGGATTCTACAATATTCATAATACTTTGTGAGAAGACAGACATGGATACAATAGATGGTGTTTCATTGTTGGTACCACTGTACTTTGTGATATTTTTTGTTATTTCTGTATATTTGTCCACAAAATAACTAGAAAGATGGAGAATCCTCATTGCTCTTTATTTTATCTGATCTCTTGAAACAAATGAATTTGGAGCGTTTCAAAACTATAAACAGGATAAATACATTGCACACAGATGAGTACAGAACTGAAGTAGTACACATTTAAGACATCTAGATGCTATATCCTTTATTTCATAAAGTGCCCCAGTCCGCCTGAAAATCTGGTGGATATACATTGCATTCAGTTAAATCATTTATTTATATTTAATAAAAATTAAAAACAGACGTACAGGTAGACATTTTAAAATATTAGCAGTAATATTCACTGTAACTTCAAAGCACAATATTTAAAACGTTCTTGTTTAAAGTCAACACCAAAATGATACTTTTACTGTATGTCCTAAACGAAACAGACACAAAGGCCTTCTGCATATGACAAGACATTTTGAGCTTTAGAAAAGCCACCATTACTAGATATTACTCATCATTTTAGTAAGGAAGATACTGTAAATCCCAGAGTTGAATCACAGGCTTGAAGATAGTAGAGAAGCTGAATCTCGTCTGAATTCTTCTATCTCTTAACTCTTTAACCAAAAAAGACTATTTTCCTGTTTCTAATATATTTTTTAATTTGCTCCATTATTTCCTCTGTCTTTAAAGTGTAAATAATTGGGTTAAGAAGAGGGGGAAGAGCACCAGACAGAGATGTGTTGAGAATTCTGGTGTCAGTATCAATGTTCACGTTCACCCAGGCTATAATGTTGGTGACTAATAGTGGCACATAAAATATAGCCACCAGAATTAAGTGGGAAGTGCAGGTTTTGAATGCTTTTCGTCGACCATCGGCTTCTGCTATCTTTAGCAGTGCAATTACAATACATAAATAAGACAACAGTATTAACACGAGAGGGGAAAACAATAAAGCCATGACATAAAATGAAGCCAGGAACCAGTTGACTGAATAATCGCTGCAAGAAATTTTAAATACCGGTCCATGGTCACAGTAGAAACTGTTAACAATTACAGATTTACAGTAAGACAAACGCGTTACGAAACACACCATTGTTAAAACAATAACAAAGGGTATAGCCCAAGAAATTAGAATAACTATGATCATTTTAGAATTTGAATTGATAGTTTTGCATCTCAGAGGAAAGCAAATAGCGATTAATCTGTCGTACGCCAAAACCACGAGCGCGTACGATTCCATTGCAGAAAAATATTCGACGAAGAACATCTGAGTTAAACAAGCATTATATTCGACGAGTCTGTTCCCGTAAATAAACATATCTAAAGACTTCGGGATGAGTGATGTGCTGTAACTCACATCTACCAAGGCCAAGCTAAAGACCCCGAAATACTTCGGGGTGTGCAGCGGCTGAGCAAACCAGATGATGGACATAATCAAGGCGTTGGCTAATAAAGTAGCGACATAAATCACCCCCAGGAATATAAAAAAGTAATTCGAGTTTTCCAAGGCGTAGAAACCACGGATGTAAAAGCCGTGAGGTCGGATAAAAGTGGTGTTAAGAACAGGTGATGCTGTTGTCATCTCGGAGGTCATAGTTCTAAACCTGTTTAAAATTTTAAAAAATGATGCGCAAGAGTTTATCAAATTCAGCTTTCAAAAGCAACAAAACATTTGTTCATTATTTAAAATTAATGATATTCACTGACCTTTTACATAAAAATGTGGATGGTAATACTTTCATAATATCATGATTATAACAAAACGTGTTATTTGTATAACAAAACGTCATTTAATTAAAATTAATTATAATACTCTCTACCTTTTCTTAATGTTTTATGTATTCATATAATTATGTGGATGACAATACTTTCAAACTATCTTGGAAGTTGCTGAGAATCAATCAAATTACCATAATCATTGAAAAGATACAGTACCACTCACCTTTTCACTTAAACTATTTAAAATAATAACAAATTCACAAATTTTTAAATAATCAGATACTTCTTAAAGTTACCATTTAAAGGATGCCTCTCACCTTTCAAACTCTGCCTCTTCAATTTTGCACTGTAGTGGAGAGGCTCTCTAATTTATTTAGGACCACCATGACGCTGAGTCACATGATGTATTCCAAGGGGTGAGATGTGTCGAGGAATCAGACCTTATTTGTATTAAACATACACCTTAAAGTGCCAGTTAATTGCCTCATTACTTAATGTGTCCTCTGTGGCAGCCTTAATCGCATGTTCTGTAACACCAGCGAATTGCAAGAAAATAGGAGTATGTTGCAATTAGCATGTGATATCTCCTGTATGTGTGAAAAAGCTTGAGCTCTTTGTTAAGCAAAATGCTTGGATGTACAGTATAGCACGATATTGCAGTTATTACTGTCACTTTCTTATTGTGTTTGTGTGAGAGGTGGAGGGATGGTGTAGCTTCTGCTAGTATTAGCTGATATTTGGCTTTTAGAGAAGAAAAGTGAACAATTTTTTTGTGTGTGAACTGTATAACGTTGCATTCTGTGACTGCATTTCTCGAGAGGAAGAGATCCAGTTTTTATTTTAGCAATTACTGAGAGAAAATACTTAAAGAGTGGATTAAGGCCTGTTGTCATGGATTTCTGTTGTACTATTGTTCTAGTTTATATGATTGTATACATTTAAGAGAATAAAGCTTTTTTTTATCCGTTAGTGAAAATTGTAAAAGTTAAAATCAGAGGTGCACAGAGTGAACACTTCTCATTTAGATCAAGATTTATTATTACTATTATTTCCTATTATTTATCTAAGTACAGTAGAATAATTTGTTGCTTATTAATCATAATTTTAATGTATTCAAACATAATCCTTGGGGGATGTAAATGTACTTAATTTCTCATTTAATGGAATGTGTGCTGTTCGTAGAGTGGTCAACTAAATATAATAGTTCACTCTTCTTCACGAATAAAGTTGTTTCCCATATTCCCAGGTATCCCACAAAGAAATTGGTGAACACAATCTGTATATATCCAATCCCTAAAGAACAAGTCAATTAAAATTATGGGCTTATAGATTTTTTAAAGCAGTCTATGAAGGAATGAAGGAGAGCAACAAACTGGGAACAGATGGATACAGTGGAAGGATGGACATACTTGAAATGTCAAAGTTGAGGTCTCAAAATGAATAAATCCCTAAAACAACAAAGTTCTAGTCAAGGAAATATAGCCTTAATGATTTAATGTAGGTAATAAGAAAATAAGTGCTGGACAAACTGCATAAAATGTCCAATATTCCAAGATAGAATATAGAAAAAGCAGATGAAAGATTACTGCAACAGAACCAGCACATTTCAGTACATGTACTACAGTATTACAAATAATAAATGTGGGAATGGAGTTTACAGCACCATTGTTTAGATACAATAACTTTAGGCCTACTAGCTCATAAAAGTTAAAAAAGTAATGTTTAAACGGTTTCTTTCACTGTCATATCCTTGTAAATATAGTCATAAGTGTTTTTGAAGTAACCAATTGTCTGTTTCCAGACTACTTAAGGTCCATATACTGTATGAACATTTTCAAGAAGTCAAGTTCCATAGGAGCTGATTCACCAGCCATCTCATCCATCCATATTCACTGACCACTTTATCCTCAGAGGGTCGCACTGGGCTAGAGCCCATCTTGGCAGGTAGGGGGTTCAACTACACACTGGAACAGGATGCAAGTCCATTGCAGGGCCCACATATACATTACACATCCAAGGAGCAATTTAGAGATGCTGTTTGTTCTGCATCTCAGAGGAAATCAGAGAACCCAGAAATAACAAGTGTTGTATGCAAACTCCATACAAAATGTGCCCCAGGATGGAATCAAACTTATCACCCAAAGGCTGTGACAGAAAAAGAGCAAAGTGTCATGTCACATCACCTTGCCATCTACCATGTACAATGGTTTTGATAAATTCACCATAATCTCTCAGAAATACTTTAATGTTTCCTGCATTGACTTCTGATTCAGGCCTGACACTTTGACACTCATACAGTATGTGTCTGTGTGTGTGTGGAAGGGTTATATGCACTATTACTATCAATGTGGGGGAAAAATGTATGAAAACAAAGATCTCATGCCAATCAGAGGTGTTGAGCTCTCCACAAAAGTTTTTTTTTTTATCAAACAACATCTTTTTGCTAAAAATAGTTATTGTGATACAGTATGTTCACACCAAGTAGGGTCGGTCCATACAGAGATCTGCATACAAAGCATTACATTTTATTTACAACTTGTGTTTTTTAATGTGACACTTAAAACTGATGAAGAAAGATGTTTAAGAGATACTGTATAAATGTGGAGGGAAAGAAAAATACAAAAAGTAAAAAAATGTAAAAATGTTTTAATTATTCTTAGTACATACAGTCATACAATACAAATATAGCAGCAGAGAACATTTATTTGAATAAGAATCAAACATACTATTGGAATATATGAGGAAGACCCTTTAATACACAATGAGAAGGAGAGCTGCCAAAATTACATAAAATAAAAAGCTATTTTGGCATCCACTTCAACAGTTGGGCACTTTACCAAGTACGCAAATGTCATTACAGCCACTGGATTTATAGTCCTTTTAACCCTTTACCTTTTAAGATTTGAATGTTTCCCTGTACATTCAGCTTCATAATGTTGTCTATTAACTTTGTTAAAAGGATCGACCTTACCAAGAACAACTGTACTCCCTGGCCATGAGGAAATCATGCCCTAAGAAATCATTTTTATATTATTGTACAGGGTCAGGAGGGAGAATAGCCAAGCGAGATCTAGACAAGAACTCCAATTTCAGGAATAAGAGAATGAGACGTTTTAAACAAGCAGTTTAACATTGACAGCAATCATATGAAAGGCTCCACACATGAATAACAAAGTTAAAAACGTATTTTGTTATTTTGCAAAGTAAAAATAAAATACAAAATAAAAGCAAAATCCATATAAAGGACAGGGAAGGGCAATTGACCACTATACTCACTTAGGGACTGTCAACAGTTCATGGGCTTTTCAATAAACAGAAAGCAACATGTAATAGCACTTTTGGAAGACAATGATTAAAATTGTGAGGGAAGGCACATATCCCCCATTGAATTAAAAACATCACAGCTACCAAACATTCTCTTCCAAATTCCCAATTACCACAGGGTAATCTTCGAGCACCACAAATAGATACAACTTCCAAACTCTTGTTCCAGGCAAGGGTAGAATTACTCCAGAAATATCCTTTCAAAGTTCTAACTGAATGTGAACTGTACTGTGCCTTCAAAGAAGTCATTTTGACAAAGCAATTAACAAACACCATGTTTAGCCTGTAGATTCATCGATTTTTAGAATACAAAAGAAATATGCCACCAGCTGGCAAATACATGGGGAAGGGGGTGGGAGAGGTGTCTTTCTTTGATGTTGTCATCCTGCTCCTTAGATATAGCTAATACAAATGTAACTTGGAACTGTTTTAATAGAAATATGTATGCTATCATGCACACATTAATGCCTGTCACTAGACTAATTGTTTAATATTAATATTGAATAGAAACATGCACTATAACATTAATACTTTCAAAAACTCTACTGGGGACACTTCTTAAATTCTTCAAGTGGTAAAATACCAACTCCATTGAGTGCGATTCGATGGTAGTGTAGTGTACATCTCCTGGTCAAGCAAGAATATAAGAGTATACAACTCCTGCTTAGATCTGATGAAACACAGCCAAAACCACTCAAATACCTTTTCCAATCATAGTTAAGAGTACCAACCTCTACACTATTAAAAAGAAAAGAAACACAGAAAGGATTAGGCACTGTCAGTCTCTTAATTCCTCATATGCAACATCTAACTCCCATTCACAGTTGCAGTACCCTTGCTAAAGACGGCACTGATATAGGTTTTAGAAGCATTTTTATTAATCAGTTATGTTTAACATGATACATTACATTTCACAATCCTTATTTTTAACCTCACACAAAAGTCCAACCACAAATCCCACTCAATAAATACAATTATCCCTGCATTAAACTTTTCAAGCTTAAGCTTTAAACCACAAGTGTAGCAGAAGACAGGAGTAGAAGACAGGAGGAGCAGACAGTACTATCTGGAACATGAACCAAATTATTTGGTGGAGGTGGATAGAACTAGCTGGAGTCTGTTTGGTACTATTGTCATTGTATGCACACACATCACCTGGCTGCTGGACCCAGCATTACACAGCCCATTAGGGTAGCCTGCCTCCACTGATGGGAGAGGGTCAACCAGAGGGACTGAAAGGTAACCTAACCTTGAACAGAAGCTACCATACTAACCAACATGGGAAAGACATACTAACAAGGAACACAGGAAAAGGAAAAACAAGGAGAATGTAATTGGGAGGTAGAGCACAGAAAGTGCTTAACTGTGTTTCTGAGAAATGACAAATAGTAAAAACACAAATGAATAGCCTTTTCTAAAACCAGCAAGCTTTGTGACACAAATAAGGTATACTTAAGCAGCTGTCTGCTTTTGTTTTTTTAGAAATATTCATGTGAAGGTGGGCAATCTACCTTTCTGCAGACCAAAATAAGGATGATTCTATTATTTCAAGTTCAATACCTTTTTTATACCGCACATCCAATGATTACACAATAGATTATAGATATTTACTAGACAGAAAGAAAAATCAGAAATGGTTTCTCTACAATTCTGAGTACTTGAAACCATACAGTAAATAATACAATCTTACATTTTCAAACAAAGAAACTTTAATATTTATAAATGATATGCAGTACAGTTTTAAATATGACATTTGCAAAGCTTCAGAACTGCTGTTTTCTTAAACAACTGCATAGATTGCATCTTGTAAAGGAAGTGAAATAAAGCAGATATTTAATAACATTGTTTATTATAATCATATATTTAATTCACAGATTGCCCGAGTCTACATTGAAATCAGGTTGATATTTGATTTAATCTAGTTGATTAACTCAATAATAATTAATTCAAGTAGAATACGTTAAATCATTTCGTTTAGCGTTACACAAGAAACAAACGTGATAATCAAAACAAACAAGGTATTTAAATAAACAATCATACAATGAAAACCAAAATTATTAGAATCCCTCTTTAACGTTAACAGTTAATGCGTTACTTTTCTAACTGGAACACATGCACACAAAATGCTTACTACATTTGACAGCTCCGTTCAATTAAGTTTGTATTATTTGTAGATATTTTAGAGCACAATTTAGTGGCTTTGTTTTAACAGGATACACAGTTCTTCATCTGTTATGTACATATTAACGAGATAAAGCCATCTTTCGGTTTCTAATATATTTTTTAATTTGATCCATAATTTCGTCAGTTTTTAATGTGTAAATAATCGGATTAAGAAGGGGGGGAATGGCTGCCGACAAAGACGTGTTGAGAATTCTGGTGTCAGTATCAATGTAGACATTAACCCAGGCTATGATGTAGGTAGCTAAAAGTGGCACATAAAATACAGCCACCAGAATCAAATGGGAAGTGCAGGTTCTGAAGGCTTTTCGTCGACCATCGGCCTCTGCTATCTTCAACAGAGAAACTAAAATGCATACGTAAGACAATAATATTAAAGCCAGAGGGAGAAAAAATAAAGACACAATAAAAAATGCAGCCATAAACCAGTTGATAGAATAATCGCTGCAAGAAATTTTAAATACCGGTCCATGGTCACAAAAGTAACTGTTAACGATTACAGATTTACAGTAAGACAAGCGTGTTATGAAACTCACCATAGTTAAAACAACAATAAAAGGAATAACCCAAGAGATTATGATCACTATAATCATTTTAGTATTTGAATTGATAGTTTTGCATCTCAGCGGAAAGCAAATAGCGATAAATCTGTCGTAGGCCAAAACCATGAGCGCGTACGATTCCATTGCAGAAAAGTAATGTACAAAGAACATCTGAGTTAAACAAGTATTGTATTCGACGAGTCTGTTCCCGTAAAGAAACAAGTCTAAAGACTTCGGGATGAGTGATGTACTGTAACTCACATCTACCAAGGCCAAGCTAAAGACCCCGAAATACTTCGGGGTGTGCAGCGGCTGAGCAAACCAGATGATGGACATAATCGAGGCGTTGGCTAATAAAGTAGCGACATAAATCACCCCCAGGAATATAAAAAAGTAATTCGAGTTTTCCAAGGCGTAAAAACCACGGATGTAAAAGCCGTTTGGCCGGATAAAAGTGGTGTTAAGAACAGGTGATGTTGTTATCACGGAGGTCATTTTTCTTAACCTGTTAAAAAATGATGCACAGGCGTTTATCAAATTCAGCTTTCAAAAGCAACAAAACATTGGTTCATTATTTAAAATCAGCGAAAATTAATTATATTAATTGACCCTTTCCTCATGTCTTCTTTATCCACATAAAATATTATATACCTATAATAATAATAATAATAATAATAATAATAATAATAATAATAATAATAACCAACATCTATTTACTGTAGTTTATCATAATTTTCATTTATAATGCACACACTTTTCAGAATCTGAGTTCAGAAACATCAAAACATTTTTCAGTTTTTAAAATGAATAGAAAATGTTTAATAAAATGTTAATCTCAATTTAATTTGATTATGTTTTCTTATCTATATGAAATATCTGTGACTGTTACAATACAAAAGTGCAAATGATAGACTAGGCAAACCTCTTCAAATGTCTGTATAGTGCTCTTTTTAAAGATAAAAACATTGCTCACCTTTCAAATTCAATGTTTTCCACTTTACTCTTTAGTGGAGAGACTCTAATTTATTAAGCACACCCATGACGCTAAACCACATGAGATTTTCTAAGGGGTGAGAGGCAGGGAGGAATTATACCTTATTTGTATAAAACATGCACCTGAAATTACTGGTTAATTGCCTCATTAGTTAATGTGTCCACTGTGACACACCTGTTCTGTAACAATAGCACATAAAACACTAGAACAAAATGAGCATGTTACAATAAAAAATCCAGGGAATTAAAAAAAACTTTAAGCATGATAAAAAAGAATGGTAGTATAGCTCGTTTAAGAGTAGTATATGGTCTCATTTAAGAGGTTTGTGGAAGTGTTACCCGTACTGTTTGTCTGTTAGCCTCTTTTAAAAAAACAATGCACAGAAAGTCATTATCCAAAGTAGACAGAATAATGGGTCTATCTTCTTCCATTCAAATTGAGATCTTTCTTGGACGAACTAGTTTTTAATCCTTACCCATTTTCCCCTGCCTTAAACTACAGATTAATCTGTAGATTAGAACACTCAGAAATTTAGATCATGAACAGATCTGAGGAGTCGTAGTGTATTTCAGATTTACACAGTTGTACGCCTCAGAAAAGCAATGTGACTTATGGCTTCTTTATGGTTTTAAAAGTAATTGTAAACAGTACAATTTAAAGGTGATCATTTCATTAATCTAATTTTACCAAGTCTTAGATTAACAGTCAATCACACATTTATTGTATATTCCCAGGAAACCCACAAAGAGAAGAGTGAGCACCTTCATAAACCCCTCAGGTTTTTTGTTCAATACACTGAACATATTTTTTCTGGGATTGTCTGAACAGCTCTCCAATCACCCTTTCTGATAGCCTACCAAAAAGGTCTTGAAAGAAGACTTCCAAACCAGCATGGCCTGAAGACATAAAAAACACAACACATTTTGTACTTCATATTTTTAATTTGTATTTGCCAATTATTTTTGTAAAAAAATAAATATTTTGTGTGTTTGTCCAAGTCTAGAATGGCAGTTATAAATCTGCCATTACAACCATGTAAAATGGGGAACTCTGCACATCTTTCAACATTTCATATGCAATGGCCACCTACCTGAAATTCAGGAAGTGAAGAAGAATCTGGTCAACAGCACAGCAAGCTTGCAAGCACCACTGTGGCCACAGGAGTCACCATGTCAATGATAGCCAAAAGAGACCTGGGTAATCCCATCCTAACCTCAGAGGGTATCTTCCTATTGTGAGTTCCAGCTTGATCCATGTCACAACTGACTACTGACCTGACCCAGTCATACCAATAACCGGGCATGACCCAACCCATAATGTTAGAACTTTTCCAGTACATAGGCAAGTGCCTTTACTAACTTCCTTTTTTTTACATTGCAATTAAAATTAACATTGACATAGCTGTAAGATAGATCTGAATTATGAGCAGGAATGTTAATTAGTTCTTAGTCCAATCACAACATTTCAAGAGTTAGAGTAGTTATGTGATTAGACTAATTAATATTCACTGCTGCTCCTACCTCCCTTCCTAGGCTAAAAGGATGTTCATGCTAAGATAGATAGAACTTGATAGAGTAGATAAATGATGTAAAATACAATATTACATCATGTAAAATACAATAGGTTAAGAATGCAGCCTTCATTAAATGCTGAATGGAAGGCAACCAGAGAATTGCTCCTATTTAAAGAGAAGGAAAAAGCAACTGTGTCATAAAATGAAAGCAAACACAGGAGAATGGTCACTGGATCAGTTTGGTTACAAAAATGAATCACACTTTTTTTTTCCAGGTACAAGGAATGTTCATTAAGGATCGATTCATCTCTGGGGTAGACAAATAAACGCCTAGCACTTCAAAATTGTCCATTCACTTTGTGTAATGCAGCAATACATTTTGAGTGCATTATGTTTTTGTTTTATTTATTGTAGTTCTCCAGGTTATTTAGAAAATTCTACATAAAACAAAATAATTGTAGTGTAACGATTATGGAACTTATTCAGATGCCAAACGCCTGAAAAGAAAATCTGGCCTGTTAATAATAATAATATTTCACCATATTATTATCATTGTTATTTAATATTAGTACTAGTAATAGTATACGACTAAAAATAAAAATATTTGCATAAGTAAATTCAGTACCTGTTGGATTATATTTGTCATTTTCAATCTGTCTTACTCCAATGGAGTGCATTTGGTATTGAGTGTGTTATAGAGAGTGACATCACTACCTTTGAGCCCAGGTGGTGCTGATTTCTCCTGCAGCAGGAGGCCTGTTCTTTTGAAACAGATGAAATAACTGTTTGCGTGTTGCTTTCCCTTTTCTCCTTTCCTTTTCTCACCCACAAACTTACCAGCATCCGAAGATGTTCGATGTATGTTGCATGATGATAACCGCGGACCAAGTTTGGACAGCCGTGCTGAAATCTGCAAAAGACATCTTAAAATCCTCTTTTAATATTCACTTGAAAAGTGCAGTGAAGATAAGATCACTTTATTGGCCATATACAATTTCTTTTATTAGGAATTTGTCTTTTTGCATACCCCAACTTGCTCTCCATGTGACACACAGACAGGGAGAGAAGCTTGTTGTCAGAGCACAGGGTCAGTCATTTATACAGCACCCCTGGAGCAGTTAGGGTTAAGGGCCTTGCTGAGGGGCCCAACAGAGTAGGATTCCTCTGCCAGCCACAGGATACAAACCAGCAACCTTCCAGCCACAGGTACAGATCCTTAGCCACAGAGCCACTGCACCACCTATGCAAGTGCACTGTTCATATTGCCCAGAAACTTCTAAAGTAAGTGTGCTGTTCCATAACCAAAAAGAGCAGCATACAGTACCTATTGAAGATGCTGATATTATCATTAATCCACCTGAACACTATGCGGTAAAGGTAATGATATTTTAAGGAACATTTGTGATATACTGGTGAGCATTTGTTTTATTATTTTTATATGTAACCAATAAAAACAAAGTTTTCTAATGATAGGTGTATTTTAGAAATTAATACAGTATAAAGCTGCTTTTCAGATATTTAAGATTACAATCCAGTGATTTCAATTCATGAATTATGCAAATAATAAGTAGCAAGACTCTAAAACTGTAATATAATACAATCCAGTAACAGATTAATCACTTGTCTTAAATGTAGTTAATGTGCGAGATAAAGTTATTGCTTTTTCAATACTCTCATAAAATAACAAGCAAGTAGGAACAGAATATGTAACTACAGTATGTCTGTAATGTAGCTTCCTCCTCTTAAATGCATATTTGGCATAATTTCCAAGACCATCCAAATTTAATCTATCATATACAGTATACCACATTATCAAATACATACAGTATATTATATTTAAACAAAAGGGCTTCAGAAACTCCATTACCACCACTCCATTACCACTACCACCACTTGACACTTGAAGTAGTAAAGTTTTCATCTGAGAAATGGATTAAAAACCTTTGTGAAATTAGAATTATAGGTATGGATATGGAAATGAGACTCTGACATATGGAACTTGTAAATATATATATATGCTGTATCACATTTAAAGGGTTTTTAAAATGTATTAACAATCACTGTTCCTCTCACAATCTGACTTTGCCACCTTTTTTAAAATTTCAGGTATCTCCATCCACTTTTTATTGCTACTTTGACTCTTAAAACAAATTGGCTTCAGCACATTTAATTACCCCTTGGACCTGGTGTGTCAGAATTTAATACAAAAGGTGTAAATGTCATGTTTAATGGAACATCTTTGAAGATGAGATTAATTGAATCATCCTTTTGGATAAATTTGGGAAATTTGTTTTTTTTACACATCATAGTGTCAGAGTCTCTTTCCAGAGACCAATTTGACTGACAGTAATGCAACACACTACTGAATTACTAAATATTTTTACAGGTATATATTATTTTATATTATAACATTTCTGATGGACTTTTTTGTTAAAAAAAGTTTAACAGTTTAACAAAAAAGTTTAAGTTTTTTTTGTAAAAAGGGCTGATGTTTCATTGAAAGAATCTGTTGAATGAGATGCAGCTGCTCTGAATGAGTAATTAACACTCAGAGGGAAATTCTACATGAAGGAAAGGAGCTGGTGGGATAGGCTCTGTGTGTAATTGGTTATGCCGCTTGCCTAATTGTGAGGCTTATAACAGCAGGCCAGGAGAGTAAGCAAAGTGGTTTGTGTCTAGACTCCAGCTTGCTAGGTATCAGTGAATTAGAGTTGTATGGGGGCAGGTGGCCTCATAGTAACTGAATAAGCTCTCTCGTAGTTCTGTGAGTGTCAGTTTGAGGAAAATATAGCTTAAGAATGTTCTGGGGAGTATCACTGGCTGATGGGGAGAATGGGAGATTCAATGGGGTTGTAATGTGCTGTGGGGAGTTGGTGGACCAGCTGAATCAGGGCTGATGGGAGCTGTTAGGGCCTAATGAGTTGGGCATTACTGGTTACCGTAGTAACACTGTCTTTTTACTCCTTAGAGTGATGGGGATTTTAGATGACAGATTGAAACCTGATTATGCCCAGTGTTTCAACATTGCCCATTTATCTCCTGGCCTTAGGTTGTGTAATCAGAGGGGAAACAGACAGCTGCTGTGTTAGTGGCATAAATGACTAAAGTGGTGTCTCTAGCCAATAGTTGCTATAGGGAGCAGTATGACTAGAAGCAAGCGAAGAGTAATTGAGATTAAAGAGGACTCCATGGTTTTTCCAGAGGGGGGACTACCCTGTTACTCTAGGATCCTGGCGCATATCTAAAAGATTGCAGGCCACTCAAACATTGGAAAACAAGTGACATTCTGGCACTGCTACAATACTATTTGTGTCAGTGTCATCTTGAGCTTATTACTCAAGCAGGTACAGGGTACCCAATCACTGAGGTAAAAACAATAGATTGCCCTGACAGCCAATTGTTAAAGCAAGTTCTCTGCCCTGTTTTCCACACCTATAACTTGTTAGGGATGCCAACTTTCACCTGTTTGCCATATCTGTGGAGCTACTAATTCAAATTACTGTAATACGCATCTGCTATTCCTATTGCTCAATGTTTTATATATCTGTGTGGTTTTATATACAATATTACACATAATCTGTTGTACGATTTGGAGGGGTTGATTCTCTGTCAGCGTAAACAGTGAGTTGGTTTTAGTGTCCCAAACATTCTAGATAACATGCCATTGAGATTCACTCTTTATATTGCAATAAGCAACATTTTTAAACAAATGCAGCTGCTATAAACTTTCCTGTACTTTTTAACTTTCAAGGTTCTTTTAGGGAATTGAGCTAGCTTGATCCATTCTGCAACAACAATAATAATATTGCTTTATTAGCCCTATACAATTTCTTGCATTAGGAATTCATCTTTTACATACTTGCTTGCTCTCCATGAGACACAGACAGGGAGAGACATTTGGGGTCAGAGCACAGGGTCAGTCATTGTCGGCACCCCTGGAGCAGCTGGGTTAAGGGCCTTGCTCAGGGGCCTAACAGAGTAGGATTCCTCTGCCAGCTGCAGGATTTGAACCGGCAACCTTCCAGTCACAGGTACAGAGCCACCGCTCCACCTAACATATTTGTTAGAAGTGAGATTTGAACTCACACCTCCAGGGGAGACTGCAACTTGAATGCAGCGCCTTAGACCGCTTGGCCATCCTGACTTTCAAATTGACCTGCATTGGCCAGGAATCGAACCCGGGGACTCTCGCGTGGCAGGCGAGAATTCTACCACTGAACATGTATTAGCTATGCCATACTGTAAATATTAGTTTTGCTCCTTTGTTTACTGTATGTTTGGTTTACACTCCAGACACTTCTGTACCTTTGAGTCTACTTTGTCTGTTTCACTAAAGTTTTTTTTTGCATAGACTTCAAGATGTGATTTATCATCGATTTCCCTTCTCCTGTTTTCCATTATCATAAACTTCTTACAGGCACATTTCCCCTCTTCCCTCCCTACTTTGAAGAAATAAAGCAGTTCACACCATGTGCTTATTTTAGGATTTGCAGTCTCAATATGAACTAGTGACCCTGGGTATTCTCTCTTTCGCTTTTGACATTTTTTCTGTTAAACACTTCATACAAACCTTAACAGTTGTTAATATTTGGATAGGTTCAAAAGTTATGGATGATAACATTTCCTGGTAAAATCAATTGAAATACCAAAAACCATCATCATCTTATGATTGCTCTAGGCATTTCACAAAATACACTGTAATCCCTAAGTTTATTACAAATAATTATTTATGTAGTATGTATTATTAAAATAAATGATTCTTCAAATATTTCAGGTTTCTTCAGGATCCATAGACACCATCATGATCATGAAGCATGTTCCTAGTTCCTTGTTTTAATTTTGTCTAGGTGGTAATGATCTTGTTTTGATCTGTTTTTGAAAAAAGAAATAATGGCTTCACAAAAATATTCCTGCTTCTTTTAAAGTTATGTTGTTTAAATAAATCCCTATTTAATGTAATGGTCAAATGTAGTAGTCATGTTCTACTGGAAACATTATCCAGTCGTACGTATGTACAGTACTATCTTATATTCTGATAAGAGAAAATATACACAATTAGGAATATTCAGCCATGTTTTTGTTATTTTTTAATGTTTATTTAAATATTCATGATATTTCTACATTTTGACTACATTTTTAGGTTGCTTTAAAAACATTATCTTTCATGATTAAATGAATATCAAAGTGAATGTAGGATGAAAGAAATCCTTAAACTACCTCATAAGACAGCTCAATAAATTAGGTTTGAAGTAGGTTTAAAATCCAATTAATGTTCTGAACTACCTGTCTCACTGTTCTTTTACCACAAATTATATGGTAATATCTTTGACAGTCATGCTTAACTGGAGGTTATTATTTTTGTAGTAATTCTGTATGAATACAGTTTTATTATATTTTACTATATTTATTATACTAAACTATAATAAAAAAAACATAAGAGTGCAAGCATATACTTTTGCTAATTCTGGCTTATTTAATACTGAAGAGTTAGCTTAATATATTAGTAACTCATACTTCAAATGTGCTTGTAAAATTCCATTTACAGAATAGAATTCTAGATTTTTACCATTCCTCTGGCTCTTACTGACATTCCCACAGGAACACATTCATGTCATTGCTTCCCTGAGGTAATAAAGATTTAACAGGCTTTTCACACCAATTAAGAATGGCCTTGGGCACCATAAGGCTCACAAGTTCCTTAAATCAATCATCTTTAAGCACACTAAGCTCCTTCAGACCTGTCTAAGTCGCTAATGGTTGGGTATCACTAAAAGCACTCAGCAACAGACTCTGATTGCACAGATGTCCCATTGATGACTGAATAGTACAGTACAGGAACAGCATAACCCCACATGGACTACCTGTAGAGAGATTTGTACTCTGACAAAAAGAAGGGGTCATGATGGCAGGGGTGATTGAAGTCTATCATTTACTACTGTAGAATAGAGATGGCAAATGAAAGGAAGTGATGGAAAAAGCAAAAGGGCAGAAGATCTCCCAGGGTACACTGTGAAACGGGACATTCATTCTTTTTGACATTAATTGCATGTACAGCAAGATATATGACCATATTCGATTATTCATCCGATATCAGAAAGCCAGTTATTCCTGTTAAAAGGCATGGCAACTTGGTCTGGTGCCTCTTCCTGACCAGCAGGGCACAAGGCAGACTATACCCTGGATAGGATGCCAGTTCACTGCTGTTTTTGTAATAATAGAGAAGACAGCGGTGAAAATGAAATATTCTAAAGTGCTGTGTAAATGAATTTCTGCTCCTTCTGAGAGGCTGTGTTTAAATCAAATCTCATTTTGTATTTTTGGTTCCTTAAAACCATGAATCATCACAGTATGTACATTAGGATTTTGAACTGGATAATATTTACTCTACGCAAATTTTAGATTTTTAGACAACCTGAATAAATGTTTCTACTGAAAAAGTCATTTTCAGCTAATTCAGACATTAAAGTATTGACTTGTTTTTTTACCTTCAGTACAAGTTCATTATGATGAACTAATTAGACCACTGTAGTTTTCTCCTGAGGATACAGAATAATGAATGTTGCTGAGCTGTAAACAAAACACCTGTCTTTAGTGCAGACTAATTAATCTCTGTTGAATCTAACAGAGGTCTGTGTGCCATTACAATTTAACACACAGACTGGCAAACTAGGCTATGTCTGATACTAGGCTATCACAAAGGCTTTCCCATAATCTAGATACATCTAGTGGCAATTTTCCATTCTAATCTATTTGATTATTTTCAGATGTTTTAGAAGAAAAAATATTTTTAAACCCCCTTAGCCATCCCAAAATGCTAAGGTTTTGTAAAAAAATTAACCTAACTTGTCTCATAACTACTTTACCATAACATCTTGATATTGTACAGTGCACATTTTTGCTGCAGGGCATGATAATACACTGATCTTTAAAAACTTATGTTCTCACTACATTATCAGGAAAGTTTACTTTCTAGATAAGGATATTTGGTGATATGCAGTTCATAGTTAATAAAGCAACTAAATGGTTTGAGAATTGCAAAATATAAAAGAATAATGGAAAACTTAATAAGTTTGATGTAGTTTGTTGGTTATGATGACATAAAGGGGGCTATTACAGAGACACAGAGAAGAAACAGCAGAGCAATAAGAAAATATATACTGTAAGTACAGTAGTACTCAAATCACTGAGATTGTTCTGAGAATTTAAGAGTGCAGTATGGGTCCGATCATAGTTTGAAACTTTGCCCTGCAATTCACAACTTGTAACATATTCTTTGATAGCAATCCCCTTCTCTATATCCTAAGGTGATGACACTTTCTTTCCTGTGCTCTGATAATGACTTAGTCCATGTGGGACTCATTAAAGCAAAACAGTATACTGGAAAGACTCTAGAGGGATATAAACTCTGCACCTTCACTAGCAACACAGCAAAACAGTAAACAAAACACACCAGCTAGACTAATGAGCAATAATTGGCAACAAAATAGGAAACATTGCTGTTGTCATGATTAAGACGTGTGCGAACACTCAATTAAAAGATGAATCCTGGCATTTCATCTGTGATAACAAGGCCCAGAAGGCAATTATTGGTCTATTAGAAGCCATTTGCAAAGACGTAATGTAGTAGCCTTCTATAACAGTTAAGATGTTGCTCCAGATTCAAGCATTGCACTAGGATCACTTGATGAAGATGCAAGGAGCTTTGCTTATAATGAGAAAATAGAAAATGAACTGAAGCTCCAATATACTGTACACTACATGAGCACATTCTCTATTACAATACAGTGCATAGAATCTTGCAGTTATAGAGGAGACACAGACCTCTCCCTGCTATATCTCCTGTGATATTGGAGAGAGTAGAACTACAGTATAATAAACAGCATGTTGTTCAAAAAAGTAATTATTGTGCATATATTGTACAGGCATTATTAGGATATATCTTTATTTCAATATGAAATTATCTTTTTTTAGCATTAACTCAAACTGTTCAGAGAATACTATATATTTTATTTTAAGCATTATACTGTATTGCCATAATTTATGCTATACTGTAAAACACTTATAAGATGGATAAATGACACCTGCCATTATTTGATCTGACATTTACTTTCAGTGTGGTGTGGTAATTAGGTATTAGAATACAAGCTGTGCAGATCAGATGCACTATGAGATTGTTTTTTTTGCTTTTATACTCAGCAGTTCCAAATCCCTCACACAAAATCCCTAATCGCAGATATGTTCTGAAATTTTACTTTATGAACAGTTTCCAATTCAATTTTCTTCATTAATCCTTTAAACATATATGTGTGCCAGCCAATTCCATAGATAACAAAAAGAAAATCACACTTTGTGCCCATTTTCAAGTAAACAAGATCCACGAAAAGGCACTTAAATCCTTGGGAATAATTATCACTCTCTGAGCTGGAGACTTGCAGTGTATGTCAGCACCAGCCACAGCACTATAGTTTAATGAAGCTTACAGGGAGGTCTCAGGATCATGCACTCTAGCTTGTTCTCTGCTGCATTACCCTCTCATCCTTTCCCACTCCCCTCCCCGTTCTCCCCTCCTCCTTTCTCGCACTCTCTCACAGTCTTTCTGCCTTTTATAAACATACAGCACAATACACTTATACAAAGCTGGTTAACTATATATATTTAGGCTGCAAGAAATTAATAATTAATTCTTATTAAATTAATAATGCATTATTATTATTATTATTAGCAAAAGCAGCAGGAACAGTTACAGTTGCAGCAGTTGTAGTAATCTAATTGTGTCACTTGGGGTTTCATTGCAATGATTTAAGTGCACTTTTTTTTCAGTTTAACTATATGCACTGCCATCTGCTGTTGAAATTAAGAACACGCATCTCATTTCCAAACTAGATTCCTGCTCCCTGATTTTACCAGTGGAATTAGGTTTTATCACATGCTGCTCATCTATCAGAATTGAGTTTTGGAACTGAATTGCCTGTTATAAAATACAATCAACATACAATAACAGATTTCAATATTAGAACACTTCTATTGAAACAAAAAAAAATAGCCCTGGTCTTTGACCTTGGAAAGGTAAAGCTCTCTGTTGTTGTAAATATGTAACACATATTCTAAGTGTATGTATGTGATTATTAGGCCTCTATATTAGATTAATTGAATAATTCCTCCCTGATCTCGTTTCTCCACACATTGGTTTTGTTTTTTATATCGGAGGAGTCCATTTACTTTCTGTCTTTGTGTAATTAAATTTTAATTCAATTTTCCACATTAGTGTCTATTTTTGACCAGTGATATCCTGGTTCTTTACATTGTTACCTTTCCTTGGAAAATTGTGGCTTCTTAGAACTTTTAGAACATTGAACTTCAAAAAGTGGTCTATAGTTTAATAACCTCATCAAGTGCAATTTCTTTCTGAAATGTAATAATCCCTCTTATAGGTGAAAGTTAGAGTTATAATACTGCATCTGTCCTGCACTTATTGAAATCTGAATTGCTTCAAAACTTTGAGATGGTTGCTGTGAAAACTGTTTAAGGACCACAGGTCTTCATTCTCCCCATTTAATAGAGGGGATTGTAGCTATAAATTTGTTTCCAAATTGATTGGTTTTAAAATGACTGGGTATTCTAATGACAGTAGTGTTACCACCCTTCCGACATGATCTCATCAGATCTTAAGAACATGTAAGTAAAGACCTCTCTTAGGGAAGATTTCTGTACAGGACATAAATAGGCCCATCCAGACAGTAAAGCTGTGACCAAAACCACACAATGTACCAAAAAGACTTCTGGTTTTTGCATAAATCCCAGTGGGAATTTGTGTGCTATTTTCAACCCACACCTCATCCTTAGTCATCTGGAAATCTAAAAAAAAAATGTTGAAATAATGTGTTGATCGTTGTGTTGTCTGAGTAAATCTTTTCAGAGTGCACTAACAGGGCATGTGGGTATTACTAACATTCAGATCTGCTTTTACATCCAATTAAGAAAACAAAAATGACACAACAAGCAATTTAATAACCACCAAGGAGTGGTTATTAAATCTAAACATATGCACCAAGGAGTGGTTATTACATTTTCCCTTGAACAATTTCAGGTCATTTAGGTGCTTTACAATATCTAGGTGTTAAGGAATGTCTCTGTCTCAGTTCTGACTTCCAAGAGAGATTATGATTAAATGATTATGTTGAATGTATAATTGATTATGTTCTGTAGTATTATTCTCAGGAGAGCACACTTCTAATAATAATAATAATAATAATAATAATACATTGCTTACACTAACAGTATATAGCGCTTTTCTGGATATTAGTGGCACACAGGTAATTACAATTAGGAGCAAGCCTGTTCCTTTCACAGTGAAAGTTTGTCTTCACAATATTCTTATTTAGAAGCAATTTTAATTATTTCATTTTGAATTCAATCCAGACATGTGAATTCCAGCAGCACCATGTCACATTTACTGTACTGTATATACAGTAGTCCAGCCCTGAAAAACTTACTGCCCCATTTAGTATCTCACATTCAATTGTTCCTGAGGCTGACAAACTGGAAAACAAAATAAAGACCATACATTAAAAACAAACAAACAAACAAACAAACATTTTCAATTTTTTTAAACCATTTTTTTTTCTAGAACTTGTACGCTTTTTCCACTGTGGGGGTGTTTTTTTCTTTAATAAATCAACCAGCATTATTTATAAAAAAGGTTTTATTCAGATTGCAGCAAGCAATATCATCCTCATCACCACCATAGAAATAACCCCTTTTTATCATCTGTAGTACAGATTATTCTTTTTCATTTGAACACTCAGATCTTCTACATCTATGTTCTATGTACTTTATTAATGTTTCCCAGATACTGTACATCATCTTTATACTGATACAGTACTTAGATTATTCACTAAGCAAATATACATATTTTAAACAAAAACGTTTCTTCAAAATAAAAAAAACAGCAGAAGTGTATTTCAGAAGAAACTTTTTTCACGTGCTGACTTAAAACTTTTAAACTTTGGCTTAAGAGATGCTCTATTGCTATAGACTATACTTTTTTCTTCTAATCCGGAAAAACTACAGGGTTATAACCATACATTTTGTTAGAATCAATTATTCAATATTTGCTTTTCTTTATAAGCAGTAAACAAGTTAAAGAAAATAACACAGTACATTTACTTGGGTGCTTTGTATTTGTAACAAAGTTTCTTTCGGTACACTCTTGCTACCATTAATACTATTGCAGGTTAGGAAAATCCTAAATTGAAATAATCCATTTTAGTTCACCTGGTCTTTAGTATGCATTCAGTTCAACAAACGGATGAACCAACAAAATACATCGTTAAACAGCTACATTTGCAAGCCTTGGGTCGGAATCTTGCTCATACCTATAGTGGTACACTTCCATTTGATCACGACAAGCTTCTCTTATGTTGTTTAGCCATCTTTTAATGCCTTCCCTATTCAAGTACAAAACCATAAGAAAAATTACTCCTATCAGTGCTAAAACAATGCCAAGGAACACGTAAGAGACAGTTTCCAAATCCGGATTTCTACAATCGACCTCTTCTTTTTTAAGCCTCATCACTAGTGTCCCCTTCACACTTTCCGGTTCAGAGCACCTTAAGCGGCTAGCGTCTGGGCACTGTGATGAGTTTTTCACCCACAAATACAAACTCTCGAGCGTACAGTCGCACACAAAAGGGTTAAATTCCAAGTAGACGTGCATTTTCTTATTCTCTAACCATTTGTTCACTACTTCTCTTTCCACAGATTGAATAGAGTTGTTGGTTAGAATCAGGACTTCCAAGTTAAACGAGTCAAAAATCAAGGGTGGGATGCTTTTAATGTGATTTGCCGATAACTCCAGTCTTTTAAGCTTGCCTAAACTGTCCGATGCCAGCGCACTTGACAACTGGATCACCGCAGATTTTGTAAGACACGAATTCAGGCTAAGATTTCGAAGCTCACGCAAGCCGCGGAAAGCATCGCTGGAAATGTAAGTTAAGTGGTTCTTGCTTAAATCCAATGCTTTTAGATTAGGGAGTCTTTCAAATGCAGATGCTTCAATATTCTGTATGTTATTGTCAGAAAGTGAAAGTGTCGATAGAAGTTCAAGTGATGTCCCATTTGTTGTAAAGGCGTTCCCAATTAAGGTTGTAATATTGTTACCAGACACAGTCAAAGTTTGAACCCACAAGGGAAAATCGCTTGGTACGTCTTCCATATTTACGTTAAGGCAGGTGACAGTTTCTGTGTTTTCAAAGCATGCACAGGAAAAAGGGCACAAATTGTCTGCGTTTGCCAGCAATAACAGCATGGACATTATTAAAGTCAAGAAGAAACGCGGTTGCTTGGAAATATGAAAAGCGTCATAGCAAATCTTCCGAATCTTTAGCCTTTCCATTTTTCAGTTACACAGTACTGTACGTACAACCCCCTTCTGAGCAAATAAAACCCAAACAACTTGCAATCTTACACCAAAATAAGATTATCAGATGCTTATGCTCTGCATATTTTAGTCTCACCCTTTTCAGCTAACGCCCGAAGAAGTTTCACGCTTCCTCTGTTATTTAAAAGTAACGGATTCAGCGATCAAGGATGCCTTCTAGCTTTTCCAAAGCTCATTCTTTTTGATTTTGATATCTCAAGCAGATCTGCCTGCTAGGATGCAATCAGTCGCTGTCCACAAGCACTCGCATGACTGAAGCAAAGCAAAGCCTCGCCCCCTTTATGATGAAAAACTGGAGCAGAATTTGTTTCCAGAATGTGATCCCCCCCACTTTAGGCTAGTGGGTAAAGAATGAAGGCTAATATTAACCACATGAGACAATTTTGCCTGTTTTGGGATTTTAAAAAAAAATGTAATTTTGTTCGTAATAAAAAATGTTTGAACTTTCACATACTACATCTAATCAGAGAATTTACACTCTTTACACTTTTAAAAGTGTAAAGTGTTAAAATTGTCATCCAGATCTAAGAGTGACCTAAAATCTTAACTGTGTCTTGTTTAATACAGTATATTAAATCAGTTTATTACATATGTAAATTGTGTAAAGGTTTACAGTACCTAATAATGACTTACTAATGAATATTAAGTGCTATAAAGACATTATGTATTGTTTACAACATATTTCAAAATATAGAATGACTAGGAATATTTATGAAGAATTATGAATATGTATCTTATATTGAGGGTTTACTGTACTATACAATTATTTTTTCCTTCACTATTTTTTCTTTGAATTTCTTTGAATTTTCTAACAGCACTGTTGTGCCAAACGTTGTATAGAGATGCTGACTCAGTGCATATAGGGAAAACTGTTGTCAAACCTGTTAAAATGACCCAAAGTGTCAAATGAACAGCAATCAGGCTCTGGTTTTCACTACACAACACCAGTTTCTATGAAATGTTAGCAGAAAAATGTATTTAAATCAGTAAAACAGATGGTTTAAGAAGAGATTGTGCTGATAACAAGAGTACAATTTCCTTCAGTGACCATTTTGTATTGTGAAAATTTGAGTAGGTCTAATTAATCCAATTAATTTTCAAATTAGCCCCAGTTGTGGAGTGTACAAAAGTGTAAAGTTATGGATTAGGGCATCAAAACTTCAAGTCTACCTCCAGTCATCAAAGTACAAAACCAGTTCTTTGAGGGGTTTTACTGGAAAAAGAGGACTCCCAAGACTGGGCTTGTACTCTAATTTATGAATATAAGGTGAAGCATAATTTTGATTTAAATGCACGACAATTTCAAGGTGAAGTCAATGCAGTTTTATAAAGTACGAAATGAAAGAGTAATTACATACAATAAGTCAAACCAAGCTTGCCACAGCAGATATTGTGTCTCATTTTTATTTCATAACAAACAATCATCCACTGCAGTGTATCTGGCAAATAGTGTTAAACTGCCAGCTCTGCCCCTGAGTGGAAATTACTCATCAGGGCATGGATCAAGTATCATGTCAGGCTAAATTATACTTTGCAGAAGTAATGTGGTCCACACTGTGAAATTTAATTAAGCCAAGATCTGGTGTTCCAGCAAGAAATGGAAATGTTATTTGTCATTAAGATTTAAGGACTCTGAATGCAATATGAGTCTGATAATTTTTCAGCTAATTTTAGATAACTCAATGGTGTAGCACTCCCTAATAATCTGGTAATATCTACAGCTGGAAATATTTATATTAAGTTAAGGGTAGTTTACAAAAAAACACATTTTATGTCAAACAATAGTGGAGAACAAACACTTACATACTGTAGACACCAGTCCAGTTGAACTTAATGATGTTAACTGCAATAGATAACCAGTGCTGATTTTATCTGCGCCTACTACAACATTGAAAAGTACTTTTTTAGTCCTACATTTACTATTTTGTCTTATTTATTTTAGATTATACTCAACATAATATATTATTTTGGTCCATTTCTTCTTTCCTATATAAGGATGTGTGGACAAATATTTAAATGGAGGACAGTCAAACCTATTTTATTTTTGAGAGAGAGAGGAAAAAAAACAGTTTTAATCCAGAAAATGAAATTCAGGGTTTGAAGAAAAAATTATAACAAATGTCAAAATAATAAAAAAAGAGTCTATGGGGGTATAGGGATTCCTGATACAGGGATGGAGCACATGGAAGTGGTCTGGACAGGACACCAGTTATTTTGCAGGGATAATTCAGAGACACCAGTTATCTTGTCTTTGAAAGGTGGAAGGAAATCTTGCAAACCAAGATTCCAAGGAGAACATGCAAACTCCACACTGAGGACACCAATGTTTACAATATCACCCAGGATGATACAAGAGCTGTGAGGAAATGGTGTGAGCCATTGATGGTAGTAGTGATGCCACCATACCACCTGCTACCACAACACAATCTAAAAACTATCCTCTCTGTGAAGACATCCCATATAACTTCAAAATGAAATGATTTTAGATTCGTTTTCAAGGACTTTCTTTTTAGCATTCCCAATGTTAGCTAGAAGGGGTCAGCACACATATGGTGATCTCCAAGTAAAGACTCTATCCACATTAAACTTACAGTAGGTCAATTTGGAATAAATAACAGATACACATAATGATCTTAGGCCATTAATTCAGCACATGCACAATAATATCTTCTGTAGACAATAAGGCCACAGCTCATGAAACACCTAGGATTTTATTATGATTCCAAACTTCATGAAAGATCATTATGTAATGTTTGGCCTGAACTTCATTTGTCTTCATACGTAAGCCACTTGACATGATTCCATGACTGTGAGTAATCTTTATTCTGCTGACAAATGCCCCCGGGAAGTGTGTGACATTTTGGAGCAGATGGACATCGGAAATTACATTCTGTGTTAGCATTTAAATATGTTTGTGCCATTCAAAGCATCCCCACAGTTTATTGGTGTGATGGAGGGAGAGGTGACTCAAGATTATCACTGTGTAGGGGATTAGAGCTGCGGAGCCGGACACAGTCGGACTGAGGGAGTATAACAGGAGGAGTATGAGAGAGCAGCCAGCTGAGAGTGATGCAGTTCACGTCTCAGCTCCAGGTGGGAGGGAGAGAGTGAAGGCTGCACAGCCTGAACTACACCAGCTGCTACTGCTGGTTTGGGCTGGCTGGCAGGCCTGTGGGATTCAGCAAGCTGAGAGGCAGTTTGAAAGGATATAGCAACTGCTATGCTGTATTGAATTATATTAGAGGTCCTAGACAGACAGACTGAGTGGGTTTTCTATTTTCCTAGCTGGTGAAGAATTGCACTGAGTGTTTAGAACAACCAAAAAAACCCGGCATTATTACCATTAGATTACTTTAGTGTAGATGTGCCAACACCAGATTACAGTATTCTTGTTTGTAAAATAAAGCTCTTTATATTATATGTAACTAACTACAGTAGAGAGCAGTTTACAGTATTATTAATATTGAAGTGTATCCAAATAAAGACAAATATTCACCTTTGAAGTATATCAATTACACTAGTTTATATTCTTCTGTCTTGACTTATGGCCGTGCTAAATGCAGGCAAATGTTAGGTTTATCAGAGACACTATTAATCATAGGACTTTAAACTGTGTTGTTGGCGAAGTATTTTCAAATAAGAAATAAACAATCTCTGAGCTAATAATAGAAATAAGAATGCAACTATAAACATTTCTGTCGCTAAATTGAAGAAAAGCACAACTGGGCAGGAATGTCTGAAAAACATTCGTTGACATTTCCTGTCTCCTCTCCAAGACTATCACACATGTATACTTAAAATACACTAATTCCCGGACTTCAGAGAAGGTCTTCTGTAAGCTCTTCATAGCTATAAACAAGTAAGATAAAGAGGTAGAGATAAGTTTTTTTGCTGCAAGGATATTGATATTTTAAAGTTTTATGTTGTTGATTTGAGAAAACTCTTCCAATCTCTCAAACAATTCAGACATGAAGTTTACAGAAACTGACACAATCTCCGAGTGAATTCTTTCAACTTTACAGTACAGTAAGTCATCCATTACAAGGACCAGAAAGAAACATTGCAAAACATTGTTACTAGTTTCTGCAGTTTTCCGTGTTTTGTGAAGGATTAAAATGGGAAATGTATCGTGGATTTGGTCACATGGTCACATTAAATTTGTTTACTGGGATTCCTACGAATTAAACATGAATTCAATTAGCTGTAAGAGCAATTCCCAGTCCTGGTCTTGGAGAACCCCACATGTTCCACTTTTATGCTCCAGCTGTGCTCTCATTAACAAAATTAAACCCTTAGCCTGACGTATTAACGGAATCTATGCTCCTTTTTATTTACGGCTCTTAATTATGTTGATGCTTGCCTTGCATCTATCTATTTCATAAACAAGATAATATCTTCAGCTTCTGCAGAAAATCAAGGCTTTTGCAGTCCATTGTTTAATAAAGCAAAGACGTCAGCTGGAACAAAAACCAGGGGGAGCATGTGCTCCAGGACAAGGATTGGGAACTCTTTCACTATTCTTGTAGCTATAGGTGACTAGGAAGTATCTGTAAGAATTTAGATAAAGATTTCCAGCTTCAAAGCAAAAGGGAAATTTGCTGAGATGTACAGTAGGGGTCCAGATTTTGTGATCTAAGGAATCATGAAGTTTACCTTAGTTAAATTAAGTGCAGGGTAAATAATTAAGTCTCAATCAACAGTCCAGAAAGACACTTATAAGATCAGATTAAGACGAGAAAAAACAAAAACTGAAAAAAGACCACGAGAGAGGAGATCGGCAAGACGGAACCTGAAGCTTGTGCCAGGTGAGAGTTCCTTCGTAATGATCATCTGAAAAAAAAAAAATCAGATTGGAGCTAAGTACAGTATTTGAACCTTGCTCAAGAGAGGCTGCTATGATGTGTTTTTAGTGAACCTGGATTTCCTTATGTGAAGAATATCTCAAATAAAAATGGCCTTTCCTGCTTTTTGGGTGCATTTTTAGAATAGGAAGATAGGCTCCCATTTATTTCATAGCAGAGAGACATTTAACTGCAGATTGTATTGCATTTAGTTTATAAGGCATCTTGTCTCTTATTTTGGCCTCTATAGGCATAAAAGTTGAATACTTGGTAGTAGTCTGGGGTTTTCTAGGTTTTCTATGTGGTCTAGACATATGTCTCTGAAATCCTTTGTCGGTAAACTTGTAATGTACAGTACATTACAAGTTTAATGTCTATAAATTGGTTTCATTACTCTGCTCTCCTCCCCACTGATCGATGATGTGTGGTGAGCGTTCTGGCGCACTATG